TCCTGGGTCTGGTTAACCGGGAGGAAGTGGGGCGTCGCCACGCGCCCTGCGCACCCCCTGCGCGGGGCTCCGTCCTCTGCCACCTTCGCAGGTGGGTCCTGCCCCGGAGAGGGAGCGGCGCCCCGCCCGTGCCCCCCCGCCCGGCGCCCCCCCGCCCGGCGCCCCCCATGCCTCCCCGCCCCCCCCCGCCCGGCGCCCCCCCCGCCCGGCGCCCCCCATGCCTCCCCGCCCCCCCCCCGCCCGGCGCCCCCCATGCCTCCCCGCCCCCCCCCCGCCCGGCGCCCCCCCACCCCAGTCACCGCCCGGCGCCCCCCCCGTGCCCCCCCGCCCGGCGCCCCCCCTGTGCCCCCCCACCCGGCGCCCCCCCCGTGCCCCCCACGCCCGGCGCCCCCCCGCCCGGCGCCCCCCCCCCGTGCCCCCCCCCCCGCCCGGCGCCCCGCCCGCCCCAGTCACCGCCCGGCGCCCCCCCCTCCCCCCCCCCCCCGTCCCGGGCGGGGCTCCTGAAGGCCCCGGATGTAGGGCGCACCGCACAGCCGCGGGGCTGCGGCGGCCGGGCTGGGGCTCAGGCCGCGTTTCCCGGCGCCCGTTCGGGCTCCCGGGGCTCAGGTACCGGCCGCCGCGGGCCGCCCGTCCCCCTGACGGCCCGGGCACCGCAGCCTCTCCCGGAGCGTTCACGTCCCCGTCCATCAGACGCCCTCGTCGGGCGCAGCGAGCCCCTGCGTGGACGCCCGCGGCCGGCTGCGGCTCCCGGGCCTCCCCGCGCCCCCCGGGGCCCCGCGCCGCCCCGCGCACCCCCCGGGCGTCCCCCGCGCGCCCCCCCCCCCGCGCCTCCCCGGGCGGCGGCGGCTGATTCCCCGCTTCTCCGCAGAACCGTCTCGGACGGCGCCTCGGTTGAGCCCGCGCCGCGGCTGCGCTCAGCGCTGACCCGAGAGAGCTTCCAGCCGTTCCGCCTTCAGAGCCGCCGGCTGCGTCCTGCCCGCGGCCGCGACCCCGCGGGCGCCTCCCGGAGCCTGCGGACTCACAGCAGGTACAAACCCGTGGGTCGCAGAGCCAGAAACTTCCAGCAACGTCCACCTCCGGGAATCGCAGCTTCACAGAGGGGGGCGGGGGGGGGGGTCCGTATTCCAAGGTCACCCAGCTGTGAATCACTCACTCCAATTGAACACCCCGGCTTCTTTTCTTGAATTAAGTTGTTTTTTCAACTAGAAAACTAAGTATCAAAAGTTCAGCGAACATAAAAAAACCCAACACTTGTCATTGTCAGAAGGTAATTTAATTTGCAGGCAAATCCTTACTGAATTACAGAAGATGGTTAAAGATCACCTGGGAACCCGTTAAACTGATATGTATTCATGTAGCCACCATAGACCTGACACCTCTCCAGGAGCACTGTAATAAGGTTCCAGAGTTACACCCCTTTCCTTGAAACTCAAAGGGGAAACAATGCACCCGGGGGGGGGGGGGGGCTAGAAACTGCAAAAGAGAGGAAGAAAAAAAGAAAAAAAAAAGCTTGACTCAGCTATACAGAGAGATCCAGACATATTAACCACGTTTATCCAGATCATTTTCCAATAGTATAAAAAGACACATTCATAAATATTGAAAAGATGAATCAGGATTTTGATCTGTGGATGAGGAGGAATATCATTTTAATAAGGTAGGTAGATGTTTCCATTTGTGAAATATGTTTATAAGAAGCAAAAATTCAGAGCTAATTAACGATTCATGACATCTTTATTCAAGAACTCGTTAGTTCCTTTTTAATAATTGACTTTTTAGTTTTTAATGTTTTTATAATGAAGATATACACTTTAAATTTTTTTTTAAAAAAGTTAGATGTATGGGCTGGGAAGGTAGTTCAGTGGTAGAGCGCTTGCCTTGCATGCATGAGGCCCTGGGTTCGATTCCTCAGCACCACATAAGCAAAAAGAAAAAAGCCGGAAGTGGTGCTGTGGCTCAAGTGGTAGAGCGCTAGCCTTGAGCAAAAGAAGCTCAGGGACAGCGCCCAGGCCCAGAGTTCAGGCCTCACGAACGGACCCAAAAGAAAAAAAAAATTAGATGTAGCCAGGCACTGGTAGCTCATGCCTATAATCGGAGCTACTCAAGAAGCTGAGATCTGAGCATCACAGTTTGAAGCCGGCTCAGGTAGGAAACCCCTTGAGACTCTTACCTCCCATTTACCACCAAAAAGAACCAAAAAAAAAAAAAAAAGCCTGAAGTGGAGCTGTGGCTTAAACTGATAGCCATGCGTGGAAAGGCAAAGGGACAGTATCCAGGCCCTGAGTTCAAGCCCCATAAAATAAAATAAAATAGGTGAAAACCAATTTTTCTAAATAAATCAAAAGTATCCCAAAGTAACAGGTATTGGAAGTTTTAGTCCTAGGCAATAATCAGACAGGAGGTAAAAGAGGCCAAGTTGTCTTTCCATTTGGGAAGGAATGGTGTGAGTTAGAAAAACTCGGAATCGCTCGGGTTATTAAAACCGGTTCTGTGCGCTGGCGAGGTAAGGCTGGTCCTCATTAACCCTGCCCGTCTCCATTTCCTAATCCCCGAGCAGGGAGAAGCCCCTTCGCGATGTATGCTAACATCACCTTGACGTTCACCTCTTGCCATTTTCCTTTAATAATGAGCAGCAAGGCTTCAGACCCTAATGGAGGCTGGGAGGCGGGTGAGGAGATCTGCTTCAAAACAAAACCAAAAACAAACAAAAACCCAGTGGCTGGGCTGCTCCACGCAGCCCCGGTGTCTCTGCAAGCTGACCTCCAGGAACATGTGTGTGTGATCTTTAATATTTTAATATCACCAGCTTGTACCTAAACTAGGATGGCAGCCACTGTGCCCTTGGCACTTTCGAACTAAAAAGGATGGCACGGCGGGTTTTGTTTTGTTTGTGTTTTTTTGTTGTTATTGTTGTTAATTCCAAGAGCCAGAAAATGGACAAAGCAATGCCACACACCAATTCCCGCCTGGAAAGACACCAGTCCACTCTTCCCGGGGTTGCCAAAGGGTTAAGTAGTTGTAGAGGGTAAAACCTGAGCCCCCTGGCTCTGTGTGCGCGCGTGCGCGTGTGCGCTAGAGATTCACTATCTCTCGGTTATTTCCTGCGATCACCGAAGCCAGTTTTCAGGAAAAACAAGTCGCAGGAGTTGAAATGTCACACCAGGTGACCTGGGCAGGGGGGGGGCAGGGCCCCTGCGCGCCCTCCTCTCCGCCCCCCCCCGCCCCTGCGCGCCCTCCTCCCGGGCACCCCCCCACCCCCCACCCCCATCCCCTTCCATTTCGGGTCTGGAAAGAAAATAAACGGGAGACACGCCAGACTGGTTCTGGTGGACTGACTTCCCCGGGCCGCCGCGAGGGCGATGCAGGCCGCGGGGCCGGCGGAGGCTCGCTCGGTGTATCGCTTGCAGGTGATGCCAGAGGCAGATAAGGGGCCGCCGCCCGGCCGCGTCCTCTGTCTAGACGGGGGAATTAATAAACGCAGCGGGACCCGTCCAGTCGCGCACGCGCGCGCGCCCTCGGCGGGCCCGGGGACGCGCGCGGAAGGGCCGGGCCGGGCCTGGGCTGCGGGGGACCCGCCCCGGCCTTGGAACCTTCGCGTTCGCAAACGGATCGTGGACCAGAAGAAGTGCAAGGAAGGTGAGGAGCGGCGAGAACCGAGAGCCCCGGCTCCAAGTTCAGGGAGAAGTCGAAGATCCCTCCCCCTCCAAACTCGGGACGGCCAAGCCCCCAGGGCGCGCGTGGCCACCAGCGCTGCGGATCTCCCGCGCAAACCCCGTCCCCTGGCGCACCCTCGGGCGCCCGCCCGCCCGGCTCCCGGGTATCCTGGCAGGAGCGCGCGCTACTCCCGGAAAGGCCGAGGTCGCGGGCACGCGCACCCAGCTTTCCTCCCCGCAGGCCACGCCCCCGTCCGGCTCGGCGTCCAATCCCTCCGTGGCCACGCCCCTGGCCACGCCCCTGGTCGCGGGGGCGCGCGAGTCCCGGGCGCGAGCTCGGGGCTCCGGCGCGCGCGGCGGGATCGGGATTCCCTGACCCTTGGAAACAAAACTTTCCTGGGAAACCAAAAAACAACAACCCCAGCCTTCCCGGGCGCCGCCGCCGGGGCCGCTCGGCATCGGGTGATGATGATAATGGTGGTGGTGGTGATGGTTATTTTTTATTAAGATCAAAATATTCGTCCGCGACAATAAATAACAATAACTTACGTTTGTTCGGCAAAGGCTCAGGCGCTCGGTCCTCCGGGGTCATCATTTAACACATTTCTCAGGGTCCCGGCTCTGTTCGGTTAATCTCCCCACCCCCAGCCTCCAGCAATCGTGCGCTTTGGGGGTGGGGGGGACCCCGCGGGTCGGGGCGGCGGCCGAGGGGGCGCGGGCGGCCCGGGCAAACCCCAGAACGTACATATATATATATATATATACATATATGTACGCATATATATGTGTATATATAATTGTTTCCTCTGTGTGCCGGCCGGACCTGGCGCTGTCCCTCAGCGTTCCCGCCCCAGGCTGCTGTCACTTGAGCCACGCAGCTCCATTTCCAGCTGGGTTTTTTTTGCTGGTTCGTTGGAGATCGGCGTCTCACACGCTTTCCCGGGCCCTGCCTGGCTGGGGACCCCCCCCCCCGCCCCCCGATCCTCACAGCTCAGCCCTCCTGAGCAGCTAGCGTGACGGCGGGGCGCGCGCCACCGGCCGGCCCCGAATTCTGCTTTTGGAGAAGGAGGTGGGGGGGGATAGAAATAAAAATAAAACAATCCAAGTCCTGGGAGCCCAGGCCCGCGGGCTTGGGGGCGCAGGGGGCGCCCTGGCGCTGCTCCGCGCGGCTTCCTCCACCTCTCTCCTCTCTCTCCCTCTCTCTCTTTTCTCTCTTTAAATAACAATAATTAATGACAAAGGCGCGGAGAGAGCGTTCGGAGCCGCCCCGGGCCCGGGCGGAGCGGGAGTCTCGTGCTGTGCGGGGAGCATGCAGGCCCGCGCCGGCGGCGGAGCGGCGCGTCCGCCTCACGTCTCCACGGGGCTGGGCACCATGCTGTTGGGGGTGTCCGGGAGCTGCGAGGACAGCGAGGTCACGTCGCTGCCGGACGAGTTGCCCAGGGAGCCGGACTCGGAGAAGGACACCTGGGGGCGGGCGGACACGGGAAGAACACGGGGTGGTGGCCTGCCCGGACTGGGGACCAGCCGGGGTGGGGGGTGGGCAGGCCGGGTCCCCCAGGCTCCGCCGCCACTCCCTCGTGGCCGGGGCACAGGCCCTGCCCGCGATGCCCACCACCGCCTTGGCCAGGGGCGGCCCGCCCCTCCGCACTCGTGGGAGGGGGGTCCCCAGGGCTGGGCCGGGCCTCACCAGCTGCTGGAAGGCGGGCTGGTCCAGGTCGCTCTGCAGCGCGAACTCGCTGAGCGCTTTCCAGGGCGGCTGGTAGGTCTGCACCTCCACGGCGCTGCCCTGCACCGCGCTGTCGTGGCGGATGGGGCTCCCGGCCACCAGCGGGGTCCCGGTCAGGCCCTGCAGGCTCTGCGGGAGGGCGGGGAGGGGATGGGGACAGAGGAGGGAACCGAGCTCAGGTCTGGCCTTTTCCACTAGGTTTGAAGAAGGGTTGGGGCCTGCAGGGGTTTGGGGGAGTGCATACCCTACACTGACCCCAGCTCGGCACCCACAAACCAGGACCCTGGGAACCCAGCCTTGGGCTGGTGCGGGCAGAGCCTGCGCCCCCAACCCCAGCCCTCCGGGGACAGCTCGGAAACCCGGCTCCTCCCTGAGCGCCCCCGCCCGGGGTCCCCCAACACCAGGCTGCCTCAGGGAGGAGACAAACCCCTGCATCTAATCTACACACCTACACAGGCACACACACACACACACACACACACACACACACACCTCAAACACAACCTGTGCCTGCCATCCCAGCTACTCAGGAGGCTGAGATCTGAGGATCACAGTTCAAAGCCAGCCCAGGGCAGAAAAAGTCCATGAGACTCTTCAATGAACCACCAGAAAACCGGAAGTGGTGCCGTGGCTCAAGCGGTAGAGCGCCAGCCTTGAGCTGAAGAGCTGAGGGACAGCACCCAGGACCAGAGCTCAGGCCCCACGACCAGCAACGAAAAAAAAAATAAACCAGCCTTCTCCCTTCTCAAAGCAAAGCTGGATCGGATGATCCAAACACCCACGTGATTTGCAAAACTCGGGTTCCCCCTGAACGCCCCCAAAAAAAGAGGGCCGGGGGAGGGGGACTCGCCGGGGGCGGACCCCACCCCCCTGCCCCCCCAGCCCCCCTCACCGTCTTGTCGCTGTGCTGCTGCTGCTGCAGCTGCTTCATGAGGATGGATTTCTTCTTGTCTTTGCAGCGCTTGTTCTGGAACCAGACGCGGATGACCCGCGGGCTCAGGCCGGTCATCTCCACCAGCTGCTCCTTCATGAGCGCGTCGGGCCGCGGGTTGGCGGCGTAGCAGGTCCGCAGCGTGTGCAGCTGCTTCTCGTTGAGCACGGTGCGCACGCGGGTCGTCTTCTCCGCCTGCTTGTGCACGTGCGGGCGCAGCGAGGGCTGGCGGCCGGGCCCGGGGTCTGCGGGGCGGGGAGCGGGGCGGGGAGCGGGGCGGGGGGGGGGGGCCGCAGGTGAGCCGACGGTCTGCACCCAGCTCCCCCTCCCCCCGCTCCCCAAGACCGGCCGACCCGCCCGGGGCCCCATTTCGTTTCCCTTTTCTATTCGATGTCGCCATTGTGCGTCTCCGCCGCCGCCTTCCGCAGGGAAGAGGGGCGCATTTCCCCTGGTCGCCCCGGCTGCCAAGCCGGGCGGCTCCTCTCCTGTCGGATTGTAAACTGGGGGTGCTCGGGAAGCTGAGCTCTGGGCTGCCCCGGCGGAGCCCTCGGGAAGAAAGCTGCGAGTTTTCGGGGCTGAGCGCCTCGGGCCTGCGGGAGGCCCTGCCCGGCGGCGCGGAGCTCGCTCCGGGCCGATCCTGGGGGGTCGGGATGGGGCCGGGGCGCGGGGTGGAGGGCACACGCGGCCTCCCCGGCCCAGACCCGGCCCTGCGCGCCCGCTCCGCAGCCTCAGCCGGGGTCCCCGCCACCCCCTCCCCGGACTCCCGGCCGCCGCGGCTCACACTCCCCGCGCTTGGCCTGGGGATCTAGGGAGACAAATCCGATCCCAGGCCCACAGACAAAGGGGAGCCGTAGGGAGATGCGAGGCCCCGGGGAGCCCGGGCCCCGGCCGGCCGCGCTGTTTATGCAAGTGCGGGTCTGGGTACGAGCAGTCCCGCCGGCCCCGGCCTGCTCATCTAGGGAAGGGATGGAGATCCGGGGCGGGAGGCCGGGCCAGAGGCCGAGGCGGGCGGCCGCCTGCGGGCTCCGGCGCCAGGCTTCAATCCGTCCTCACCTGCCCGTGCTTCATTCAGAGCCCAATCTCTGGGCAACTCAACACCCCAGTGAGGGCCGTCTGTCCTCAGTACCTGACGCCACCATGCCTGCCTTTCTCCTCCCTCCCACTCAATCGGTGCTTGGCTGAGTTCTTCCTCTAACGGGATCTCAAAACACAGGACACTCCGCCTTTGCTTGGATGGCTGGCCACCTTCGGTGGGCTCATGGCTGTGGCCCCGACGACCGGGCTTTAAGTTGGGAGCTGCATTTCGCCCGTACACACTTAGACACACACAACACACACACAGGCAAGCCTATCTTTCCTCTCCGATGATTATATACACACATATTCCTGGAGGGGGGAAATATCCCGAACAAGAGGCCCCCTAAACAGCAGCCCCTCCAGATCCCCGCTGCCATCGCTCTTCTGCTCCCAGCATCGTCCCCATTCTCCTGGTAGAAGAACACACAGTTCCCCCACAACGCCCCAAGCTCACACCCTCCTCTACCAGCTGTGACCCCCACCCCAGGCACCAGCAGAAACACCCAGCCGGGTTCCCGGCCTGTCGTTAAGAGAAAACCGCGATCCTGGAGGAGGAACCCAGCACAAACCACAACTTCTGCACCTTTCAGATGCCCCGCGCACACCGCTGCCGTCTGCGCGAGGCCAGGCCCCGGGGACGCACGGTCAGGACGTGGGGGCGCACAGCCAGGCCCGGGGCGCACGGTCAGGACACGGGGGCGCACAGCCAGGCCCCGGGGACGCACGATCAGGCCCCGGGGCGCACGGTCAGGCCCGGGGCGCACGGCTTACCTGGCAGATGCAGGCCGCGGGCGCCGGGGAGCGGGCCGGGGCTGCGCGGGCTGCCGGGCGCCGTGCGCTCCAGCAGGAGGCCGTGGTCGGCGCGGCACAGCAGCTCGTGTTCCCGCAGCGAGAACTCGTCCCCGGGCAGCAGCTGGCGGCTGCACACCGAGCAGCGGAAGCACTCGATGTGGTACACGCTGTCCCGCGCCCGCATCACCAGGTCGCTGCTGCTGAAGCCCACCTGGCACTTGGCACACTTGATACCGAACAGCCTGCGGGGGGTGGGGGGTGCCGGGGTGCCGGGGACCCGCGTCAGCGCGGGGCCTGCGATCGCCTCCGCCTGTCCACGCCGCTGCCCCCGCCCGGCTCCCGGGACTCTCTGGTGCTGCGGGGACCCCGATCCTGCGGGTGATTTCCCCCGTCCTGCGAGGGTGCCAGGCCCGAATACCCGGCTGGCTTGCAGGCGTCCCTCCCCCCACCCCCAGGAAGGGCGGCCTTGGCCTGGCCGGAGCGCAGGGGCGGGCGGCCATCCCCGATCGCCGGCCACGGCCACGGCCAGGGCGGGTGGCGGCCGAACCCCGGGCCCCGGCGGCCTCACCTGGCGTAGTCCCGCTTGCAGTAGGTTTTTCCGTCTCTCACGAAGCACGTGCAGGTCTCGTCCAGGTACTCGCTGCACTCGGCGCACTTGAGGCAGGCGGCGTGCCACTCCAGGTCGGGCGACACGCGGAGGATGAACTGGTCGTGGATCTGACTCCCGCAGCCCACGCACATGGCCGTCCCGGGCTTCTCTGCCGGGGAAGGGACGCGGGGGCCCGGTGTCAGGCCCGGCCGGGCTGCCCGGCTCCGGCCCCGACGCAGCCCGCTCGCTCGCTCGCTCCCCCTCGCCCGCTCCCTCTTGCAAGAAGTGCGACCACCAGGGGAAAGCTGCGACCGCGGGAGGGAAAAAATGAAGTCTTCTGGTTTTGTGCACGCTTTCCGCTATCACGGAAACACAAGCGTTGGGATCGTCGTGTAACGACGCCAATGGAAGATGACACGAATTCTTGGTTTTTAAACGGGAAATCCAGAGCTAGAAGCACCCTGGATGTGCGGGCCCCGAGGCAGATCGGATCGGTGCTGCGCCGGAATTTCCGTCCCCGGGGCGACTCCCTCCGGTGCCATCGCCGCCGCCCGCGGGGTCGGAGCTCAGTCGCCGCTCCCCGGCCCTGGGCCGTTCCGCAACTCCCCTTCCAGAACCCGCCCGAGCTTTGCAACGACAAGCAGATCACCACCACCAACAACAACAAAAATCCACATCCCGAAAGCAAGCCTAATGGTCTTAGCGCATTGGAGGAAGAAAAAAAAAAGCAGCAGAATTCACAGCCCGAGGTCAGAGCAGCCGAGCGCGGGCGCCGAGGACCACACCGAACCGCGGGGCGCCGGGGCAGGCGGGCGCCGGGGACTTCGTTGTTTGGGGGTTTGTTTGGGGGTATTTTTTTTTGCTTTGTTTTTAAATTCTGGCCGGCCTCCTGCCACTTGTAGAATCCGCTAAGCGTTAGCCATCCCGCCGCAGCTCGGCCAAGCTGAAGCATGCATGCGCGCGCGCCCACGAGCCACTTACTCTTGGAGAGATCCCCCATAGCACCTAGAAAAGGACAGGGAAAAATAATATCCACCATGCAGAAGGCGACGTGCGCGCAGCGCGGCGACCCCGGGGCGGGAGGCGGACCAGGCTCGCGCGCCCGGCCCTTGGCTCTTGGCTAACTAACTCCGCGGCCCCGCCGAGTTGCAGGAGCGATTCCGCACCGGCCCCGCACGCAGCATGACGTCAGCACGCACTCGCCCCCCCCCCCGCGCTCGGGGGCCCGAGCCGGGGGCGGGATCTGTGACGTCACCAAGAGCTGCCCCTGAGCCGCTGTGGGGGGGGTGGGGGGGGAGGAAAGATGCTTGCAGGGGCCGGGAGGGAGGAGGGGGAGGGCCCGGGAGCTGGCGGGCGGGGTCGGATCCGGAGGAAAGAGGGCGGGGTGAAATACGATTGGCTGGGAGGCAGCGAGCGAGCTTCGATTGGCTGGGAGTAAACAATGGGGAGAGGCCCCGCCCCCTGAAATTTACCCGGACCCGGGCTCTTCCCTCCCCGCCCCTCCGCTCCCCCCGGGCCCAGCGGCCCGCCAGCCTGCCGGGACCCCGCGTCCCCGCCGCAGCCCCGCGCTTCCTCCCGACCTGCGGGGCGCGGGACAGCTAGGGGAGGACGGCAGGAGGCTGTCCTCGAACGCTCTGTCTAAATAAATTTAAAGGATTAGCTCCCCTGGAGAAGGGAGGGGCGGGGAGGGGCCTGGCGGAGCCCTCACCCGCTCCCGCCGGCCCGCTCCAGGCTGGGGAGGGCGGGTGCCAACGGCCCCCCGCACTGGGGAGACCTCCTCGTTGGGGTCCCCCCGCCCCGCACGGCCCGCGGAAAACTTCGGGGCGCGAAGTGGGGAGGGAGTGCGGGGGACCGAGTCACGGAGTCAGGTCCTGATTCATTCCCTCCCCCCCGCCTCCCTCCCCTCCCCCCCGCCTCCCTCCCCTCCTCCCCATCCTCATCTCCCTCCTCCTCCTCCTCCTCCTCCCCTTCCTCCCCATCCTCCCTCCTCCCGCCTCATCCCATCCTCATCTCCCTCCTCCCGCCTCATCCCTATCCTCATCTCCCTCCTCCTCCTCCTCCTCCCCATCCTCATCTCCATCCTCCTCCTCCTCCTCCCCCTCCTCCCCATCCTCCCGCCTCATCCCATCCTCATCTCCCTCCTCCCGCCTCCTCCCTATCCTCATCTCCCTCCTCCTCCTCCTCCTCCTCCTCCTCCCCATCCTCATCTCCATCCTCCCGCCTCATCCCCATCCTCATCATCTCCCTCCTCCTCCTCCCCCCTCTTCCTCCTTCACCTCCCCCTCCTCCCTTCTCCTCCCGCCTCATCCCCATTCTCATCTCCCTCCTTCTTCCCCTCCTCCTCCTCCCCATCCTCATCTCCCTCCTCCCCCTCCTCTCCTCTCCCTCTTCCTCCTCCTTTTCCCACTCTCCCCTCCTCCCCCTCCACTTCCTCCTCTTCTCCCCCCTCCTCCCCCTCCACTTCCTCCTCCTCTCCCTCCTCCTCCCCGTCTCTTCCTCCTCATTTCCCTCCTTCTCATCTCCCTCCTCTCTTTCCCCCTCCCTCTTCCCCCTCTTCTTCCTCCCTTCCTTCCTCCTCTCCCCTTCTTTCTTCCTCCCTCATCTTCCTGCTTTTTTTCCTCTTTAACTTGGCGCAACAGCACGGTAGCGCTTTCTAGAAAAGACCACAGGGATCGAGTCTGCGGGGCTTCTGGGAGGAACGAATACTTTCTTCCACCACCCTCCAGTTCCGCCTCGCCACCCACTGCGGCGCCAATCACCGGCAGCGTGTGCGCGCGCGTCGTGTGCGCGTGCGTGTGTGCGCGTGTCGTGTGCGTGTGCGCGCGTTACCCAGGCCCGGGGTGGGGGGCTCTCCGTGCTGGACGCGGAGACTCGGGGCGAGCCCCCCCTCCCCCCCCGGTGTCGCTTCCCTCCTTTTTCGTTGCGCACGGCCGCCCCGTTCACCCGACCCGGGCGTCGCTTGTTGTTTGCGCACCGCTGGTCTCCACCGCCCGCCGGCTCCCCGCAGGGCCGGATCCCCCGCGCCCCGACACAGGGCTCCCCCAAGCCCGAGGGGGCAGATCAATCACGGGCGGGGAGGGTGGCGGGGCGGGTTTGGTTCTTGAACTCGCGTCCTGGGCGCTGTCCCTCCCTGAGCTTTTACACCAAGGCGGGCGCTCTACCACTTGAGCCACGCCTCCACTTCTGGTTTTCTGCTGGTTAATTGGAGGTAAGAGTCTTGCGGGCTTTCCTGACCCGGGCTGGCTTTGAACCTCGATCGTCAGATCTCAGCCTCCTGAGGAGCTAGGATGACAGGCGTGAGCCACCAGCACAGGGCTGGAAATCTCCTTCCCATGTTCCTTCCCTCGGTTTCTGCGGCTGTACGATAGGCTACAGTTCTAAAAGCTTTCTCTATCTCATAAAAATTGAATCAGCTTCTCTGGAAAAGCCTAGTGATAATACCTTCGTAGTAAGTCCTCATAGCTATTAACCAGACACAGCTTTATGGTGTGACTTGGCTTTGGGTGTGTCTCGGTCATGGTCTTTTTCTGTGCTTGGTGGAACAATCTAAGCACACACACACTTTCAGGTCATAATCTGTGTGTCTGGGCTGTGTCAGCTCTGAGGGCTGGGCTGTGTATACAGGTGATACCTGTGAGGATGGATACCATAGTCTAGATGGAGTGAAGGTGATTCCTCCCTCACTCCTTTCCTTCCTTCCTCCCCCTGCCCCTCTCCCTCAATTTCCTCAATTTCTCCCCCTTCCTTCCTTCCTTCCTTCCTTTCTCCCTCTCTCCCTTCCTTTCTCCCTCCCTCCTTTCCTTTCTTTCGTTCTTTCTTTCCTTTCTCTCTTTCTTTCTTCGTTTCTTTCTTTCTTTCCCTTGCTTGATGGGTTGCTTTTGTATATTCGTCTGGAGCTTCAATTCAAGGGCCTGGGCGCTGTCCCTGAGTTTTTTTGCTCAAGGCTGGTGCTCTACCACTAGAATCACAGATCCACTTCTTGCTTTTTGGTGGGCCATTGGAGATGAGAATCTCACAAGCCCAGTGAGCAGAGACTTTTATCTCTAATTAGCCACGTAAAAAGCAAGCCCAGAGTTCATGCACCAGAACCGCCAATCATCATCATCATCATCATCTCATCCTGTCCCAGCTGGTATTGAACCACTATCCTTAGATCTCAGCCTCCTGAGCATCTAGGATTACAGGTGTGAGCCACAGCACCCGGTTTGAGTGCAGACTTCTTACACCTGCGTGTGGAGTGAGGCGGTGGGTGCTCCAGGACACAGCCTTGGGATTGAGAGCCAGCCCTGGATCCCGCCACCCCTCAGCTCCTGTGCATCCTGAGTCAGTAACTCAGGGGTGCAGGTGGCCAGGACGGGGCAGCTCCCCACAGAAACTCAGGGTACCACCCTGTGCAGCGCAGAGTCCGCCTTCCTGAGGAGAAGATGCAACCCAGAGAGAACAGACCAGGAACACGTGGGCAGCAGAGGGCCAGAGCACAGGCAGGGGCTCCTTGGCCTCTTCGGTGTTCTCTGAGGTGGGTGGTATCTGATCCAGTCCATCCCGGGGGAAACTGAGGCTGGAGGGGTAATTATTGCCTCCGCTCTAGGCTGAGGCAGAGCTGGCATCGAACCCAGGTCATCTAGCTGCCCATTCTTTTGCGTTTGTGAAGATCCCCGCAGAGGATGCACTCCTCTAGGTCTCGAGAGGCCTTGCCCAGCTTCTTGGCCTCCATGTGCAGGGAACCGGGGATCCCTTCTAGGGGTGGGGCCGGCTGATCCCCATATCCCAGGCTGTGATACTGGGGAGGCCCAAGCACCTCCTGCCCTGGGTGTTAGAACACTACAGGTGGCAGCCATGGCTAGACACCATGTCATAAAACCAGCACAACTCAGCCTGGCTCCTGGGAAGAGTTCAGAGAGTTCAGGAGCAGAGACGTCTCCCTGCGATCTTCCTTCCCACATACCCTTCACTGTCCACAGATCTAAACACTCTCCAGACCTCCCCCCCAAAAAAAGACAGGCAAACCAAAGATCAGGTGAGCCTTCGTACTACAGAGACAGCTGCTCCCAGCTAAGAGTTGGGAGGAGGGTCACCAAAACAGGTCATCAAACCAAAAGGATTCTGGGTAGGAGCCTGTGGCTCATGGCCTGTCATCCCAGCGACTCAGGAGGCTGAGACCTGAGGATCACAGTTTGAAGCCAGCCCGGGGAAAAAAGTCTCTGAGACACTTATCTCCCATGAAACACCTAAAAAGCTGCAAATGGTGCCGTGGCTCAAGTGGTAGAGTGCTAGCTTTAAACAACAACAAAAAAGCTCAGAGATACCTCTCAGGCTCTGAGTTCAAACTCCAGGACTGGCAATAAAGATAAAGAAGGGAGGGCTGGGAATGTGGTCTAGTGGTACAGCGCTTGCCTAGTACGCATGAAGCCCTGGGTTCAATTCCTCAGCACCACATATACAGAAAAAGAAGGGAAAAAAGAAAGCCATCTTAACTCATGGCTGCATACAGTGGTGCCCACCTGCCATCCAGCCACTGGGAAGGCAATCAAGGGCAGAGAGCAGTGGTTCTCACCCAAGGAGGAGATCAGGGTCAGGCCACCACAGCACAAAGGAAGACCCTACTTCTAACTTCACCAGTGCAAAAGTAGGCTGGAGGTGTGGCTCCAGTGGTAGAGTACCTGCCTAGCAAATGCAAAGCCCTGAGTTCAAACCTCACACCCCCACCCCCAAAGAAAAGATAAATTGCAATCTGGGTGCTGGGGGCTCACGCCTGGCATCCTAGCTACTCAGGAGGCTGAGATCTGAGGATCGCAGTGCAAAGCCAGCCCAGGTAGGAAAGTCCTTGAGACTCTAACCTCCAACTAACCACTTAGAAAACCAGAAGGAAGGAATTTGCAGACAACAATGGCAGAGCATTAATCCCCGCAGAGGCTTCTAAAGCCCTGAGCCCCACCCTGTAGGCGGGGAGGTAGATCCTGCTCCCTTCTTTTAGATGCTCTGAAATCAATAAACCATTGCTTGGCCTTCCCAAGTCAATGCACTTAGGAAGAGACAGGA